AGAATCGCCACCGGATGGAGAAAGGAACCAGTACTGAAGTTGAGTGTAACTCCGTGGAACCCAACGAAGCCTCGTGAAACAACCATTACCAGCCCCCGCTCTTGCAAGTGTTGCGGAAGAAGCCTCAGCACAGGAGCCAGTCGTCCGTGAAGAAGACAGAGGTCATTCTCAATCTGAACATGAACAGGTACTGGATTTACTTGACACTGAGTTGTCAGCCTCAAACGGAGGCAGGGGAAGTTCATCGAACTCAAGTATATCGGATGTACAACGAACCCAGGAGGAAGAGTTAGTACCTGATGACATGATGCTGGACGAGTTCAAGAAGCGTACTTTGGAAAGTGCTCAGCTGCAATCTGAAGAATCTTCTTCCAAGAAGACCCGAGAAGGAGAGAGTTCAGAACCCTCATCACCGTCAAGGACATTGTATCCGCCGCTTTTCGCAGGCAGGCCATTACAGGAAGAAGACGTGTTTCACTGGGACGAACACGAAGACTTGACAGCAGTGGAAGGTGTAGACGTTGAGTGCGAAGATCTCATGGAGGAAGAGATGGAAGATGCGCCAAGGAACGAACAAGGAGAAATGCCACCTGAGTTGAGTCCTGAAGCGTTGGACACAATGGACCAAGAAGCAGCAGTGGAGGAACTCAACAAACTCAGCAAGATCGGTGTGATCGAAGAGTTCCAGGAAAACCATGCGACTGGGCAAGAGAAGCGTATGGACCTGCGAGAAGTCTACGATTGGAGATTTCGTGACAATCGATGGAAACGCCGGTGTCGCATCGTGGCGAGAGAATACCGAGCTGGCCCAAGTTCAACGGCAGAAACGTTTTCGCCGACAGCTTCGAACGCCTCCGCGAGATTGGTTCTCATTCTGCACCTCATTTTTCCGAAGCGGGTTATTGTGGTGCTGGACATCACGGATGCTTATTTGCAAGTACCACAGCAAGAAGAAGTTCTCGTAACTATCTCAGCGTGGATGAAGAAGGTTTGCAACATCGGGGAAGGCATCGTGTGGAGGTTTAAGAGATGCTTGCCAGGACAAAGAAATGCCGCGACCCGATGATGGTATGAGCATTTGAGATCCATCTTGGAAGGAATCGGTTTCGAGTTCTCGAAACGTGTACGTGCTTTAGCAAAACACAGGACACGACCACTGTGTATCTCAATCCATGTGGATGACGAACTTTTGGCAGGAGAACGAGAAGAAACCATGTGGTTAGTAGAAGAACTGGAGAAAATCTTCAGAGTAGAGAAGGAAGGACCGTATCCTCTGAACAGAGTTGGAAAAGGAGAGGAGCTACGCTATCTGAAGAATAAGTATGTGTTCGTGGAAGAAGGAGTAGTTGTACAGCCAAATGAAAAGTACATCAAGAAGTTGTTGGAGCTGTATGACCTGGGAAGACTGAAAAGTAAAGCAACTCCTGAACACGTGGACCTAGTCAAGGAAGACAAAAGCAAGGAACTATGACCTGAAGAAACGAAAAAGTTTAGGTCAGGATTAGGATCCATTCTATACTTGGCACAAGACAGAATTGACATTCAGTATGCTTCGAAATGTTTAGCGTCAAGCGTCGAAACCCACCATGCAGTCGCTGAAGTGCCTGACGCACCTGATACTGTACTTATCAGGGACCGCAAGTCGGTCGACACTTCTGCCATACAGTACTCAGGGTACGAGACTGATTACCAATTTGAATGGTAAAGAGGATGAGGAAATCACCCAAGGAACAAGTCACATTGTGGAAGCTTATTCAGAGAGTGACTGGGGAAGCTTGAAGACTCCAGAGAAAGCCAGGAGAAAGTCTACATCGTCAGGAATCATTGTACTGAACGGTATACAAGTACTAAGTTTCTCAGGGACGCAGAAAGCTACCGTATCATCAAGCTGTGAAGCAGAGTTGTATGCATTGAGTGGAACCTGCGGAGAAGCTATTCTTGTTGGACGTTTATTTCAATTCTTGACTGGAGAACAAGTACGAGTGGAAGTACGTTGTGACTCAAGTTCTGCTAGGCAGTGGAGTCAGAGAAGAGGAGTTGGACGTCTGAAGCATGTGGACGTAAGGCTATGTCAGCTACAGGATTGGGTCAGAGAAAACATCGTGAAGATTGGAACGGTAAAGACAGCCTCGAATGTTGCTGATCTGCACACAAAGAAGTTGACGTATGCCAGAAGAGCATTCNNATGTATTTCTTGTCACAAGTAGAGTATTCCGAAGACGGAGAAATAGCTCGCACTGGAGAGAATGAGTACGAAAAGCATGAACAGGAAAAGAGGTTGAAAGAGTATGTTGGAAGCAATCACGTGAAGGACCTCATCAGACTCATTCAGATGTTTAGTGTCATCAAGCCAACGACCGCAGTTTGGATCAAGGAGGACAGTTGTAGTATCCCAGAATCTCTGAGTACCGACGCAAGGATGGAAGATGGAAGGTATTCGAAGTTTGAAGTGGGAATGATGTTTGTGGTGATTCTGTTGGTGTTGCCAGACATCTTGACAATTGTATACAAAGGCTGGCACGTCACGCCAGAAACTCACTTGGCGAAGGACTCCATGAACTTTGTTCTCCGCCAGGCCGAGTTGCTGTCGCCTGGCGCTGGGCCAGCCATGAGCGTAGAAGCTGGTTTGCCACGTTCTTGGCGTTGAAGCTGCCGTGCTGGGAGAGGCGGGTGACCTTGCACCACCTTCGACACCGCAGCGAACTCCTCCTGCCAAGTCTTTGGCTGTAGGACAAGAGCAAGCTGCCGGGCCACTCATGGAAGCTAGCAGAGCGTATGACCATGATCGGCCTGGGCGAGTTCTGCATTCATCTGCCCCAAGACGTCAGCCCGAGTGGCCGGCGGAGGCTCCGACTTCTTGGTGGGCGTGCTTCCCAAGCCTTCCTGAGCCTTGCGCTTCTTCTCGGCGTTCTGCTTTCGTTTCCTACAGCGAGCACTGGCTTCGTGGGCCATCCCTTTGCACGTGCACGAGTTGAACAAGTCCCGGTAACCGGCATGGACATGCTTGAATAGACCTGATGTTGCATCTTTGCGCGTGCACACTGGGGGAAGCTATTCTGAACAATCCCGTCATCGGTATGGACATACTTGAATGGACCTGATGTTGTATCTTTTGGCGTGTGCACTGGGGGGGTTAAGCCGTTCTGAACAAGTCCCGGTAATCGGCATGGACATATACTTGACTGAATGGACCTGATCTTGTATCTTTGCTCGTGCACACTGGGGGGCAGTCATTCTGAACAAGTCTCGGTAATCGGCATGGACATATACTTGCATGGACCTGATGTTGTATCTTTGCGCGTGCACACTGGGGGGATGCCACTCTGAACAAAAGTTCGGTAATCGGCATGGACATATACTTGAATGGACCTGCTGGTTATCTTTGCCTAGTAGGGGGTAAGCATTTGGGAGTTGGGCTTAAAAAATCGAAACATCAATTCTCCTAGGCTCTGCAAGCTTTAGGATACACAGGCTTTAAGTTTATGCTTTAGTTAAGGGTTTCAGCTTAGTAGTTTCGGAGCTCAGGATTTAAGTTCAGGGTCCAGGGTTCTATGACTTAGGGGCCTTGATCTTCAGGTTTCCGGGCCTGCTCGGCCTTGGTCCTTAGGATCTCGGGTCTGCCTGCTCTTGTCTCCATCCTATCAAGGCTTCCAGCACCGCTTACTGCAAGACCCCTCTGCAACTTAGCTGGAACTGTAGGGGGCCCAAAAACGTGTCTTTCGAACATAAACTCTTAAACAAGCCCAAGCCTTGGAAGCCTGCTTTCAACGCCTGAAAGCTGTTGAAGACAAAGCAAGTCAGGCCCAAAGCCCTGAATTTGCCCGACACACACAGAGACACAACAAACCTCAAGAAAACAGATATCAAGCCTCGTCGAAGGCCCGGCCCTTGCTGTCGGAGCCTTTCCCAGTGGTCACCGATGGGGCTTTGCGCCGGAATGGCGAAACCGCGGAAACGGCCCGCCTCGTCGCCTGTGCCGCATCTACGTCGTACTGCCGCGGTCGTGACACAGACTGATGCCGTCTTCCTCAAGGCTTGCTTACGGGAGACGTTTCCAGACTTTGGGGGTTCGGGTTCATACCCGTCCTAAGATTTCGGCGTTGAGGAAACCCAAATGCTATCCGGTGTATTGTCCTTTGGGAGGTGAAGCTGCCTTTCCTGCCTATGGAGAAGACAAGCCTGAAATATTGCCTAGCATGTTGGAGGGTAGCGCCAACTCCCTGGTACTGGTGGGTCGTACACTCAAAGGTTCCATGCTCCAGTCTGCCTTCGGCACGTCCTTCCGCCAGGCCGTCCTTGCAGCGACAGCGCTTTTAGGAACCTGAACGCGCGTCCAGTGGCAGCCGAACTTCCGTTCTGCCACGGCCGTTCGGTCGTACAGAAAACAACTGTGCCTGGGCAAGGATGGCCGTAACCACAACAGTGCCAGCAGCAGCAGCAGCAGCAGCAGCAGCAGCAGCAACAGCAGTCTGCGAAGAAGACGAGCAAGGGACAATCGCAGGTTGCCTTCTTTCGCTTCATGTACACGTACATTCGGCCGCCAGGCCAGTGAACACTATATGGTTCGACGGTGAAGGGGTGCTCGAACTGGGCATCGCTGACGACATTGAGATCGGCAAAGGTTCCTGCAAGAGTTTCCCTGTTCCTAAGTGCTATGGTCTAGCTCGTCGCTGCAGCACATGATCTATCTTCGTGACTTCATCGCTGCCTCACGGCTGCTGCGTAGGTTCCAAGACATCGCTTCGCACGAGCACTTTCGTGAAGTGGCTGATGTTTTCCATGCTGCATCTGTCCTTAACAAGCGACGAAGACGCCAGCCAGGCAGAGGGCTGGTGCGCGAAGTGCAACCACCTGCTGAGACGATCTGCCGCCTGGCGAGCAGGTTTTTTGATTCGGCCCCTGCGTCGCCCGCTCCTGGTCCCCGGCAATTGTTCCAGCTCCTGCAGCTGCACCCGTTGGAACTTATGTGACAGGACTGGCTGCGACAGCTTTCGCCGGAGCTCCTGCCAATTGCGGTCTGGTTGCAGGGACGCTTGCGATGCCCGCAGGTTGCGGGCACTCGGATGCATGCTGCGTTTGCTTCGTGCCTTCCTCAGGCTCTTGCGGTCCCTGCCCCTGGCTGCTCTGGCTCCGATTACTTCGCGGGGTGGGATGGGGTGAGTGTGTTCAGGAGTATTTCGCGCGGCACCCAAACGTGCCCTTTGACGTGGAGCAGTTTCGCACGCACTATACAGACTTTTGGGAGATATGCTTGTAGGATTCCCCTTGAGTGTCATGACTGCAGCCATGCTGCCGCGACCGCACCAGGTGCCATCCGGCTTCGGTTGTGAGCGCACGCTCGAACTGAAGCTAGCGCAAACATGTGTCTAGCTGGGCAACAGTCGGCTGCTTGAGAGCTGTCACGCGCTGGAGTTCGCTCAGCGGCCGTCTCAGTTTCCGTCGTGGATAGGACTCAGTCGGGCTACGGAGCTATTGCGGAATGTACCTCTCCGAGCTTCCGTCTTGGAGGCTGCGTGTAGGCGAATTTCTTCGTGTGCTATTCTGGCCATGGGTCTTCCGGTTCATCTTTCTCCGTGTCTCCACAATGTCTGTCACAAGAGACAACATAGCCTCTTCCGAATCTCCAACAAATCCAACTTCTTCCAGATGTCCAAGACTATGTACCCGCTTCAAGACTTTCTCCCACAGTCTTTCTCTCTGTCTGTTTTCCTGACACAGGAATTACCACTGACACGCGTGTCCATGAACAAATTCCGTCCAATGCGGGTGTATCCTTTCCTTGAAGAAACATAAAATCCAATTGTATAATAGGATACGGGACACCAACAGAATTCTTGCCAGCTTCAGGGTTCTTCTTTTCGTGATCCTGCTTACTCTTGGCTTCCACACAACTTTCGCACCAATGCGCAAACGGAATGTGTGTTGCTTCATGTTTCAACCTTTCCTGTTCAGTAGGTTCTTCTGGCTGGGCTTCTACCCTAACCTTCTCCTTTCCTTCCTTCTTCAGCTTCAGAGCAGACTTCTGCACCTCTAGTTCAGATAACGGATTTCCGTCTCCATCATACGTTGGTCCTAGGACTCCTTCGCTCCTTCCTGGGGCGATTTTCACTGGTACCACAGGTGTGCTCAATTCCTCGGGAACTCCACGTTCTGGTTCCCTGAAAGGGGCATTTGTGCTTGGTCCTCTTCCAATCAAGTCCATCTTGAAATCGTTACAGAATGTGAAAAAGTTTCCACTGGTTGCATGGAGAATTGTAACTCCGTAACATTCAGGAATACTCACGCTGAGACTCCTGTTCGCAGCATAGTCTGAGTACAACTCGACTA